GGGCCCTCTCCCACGGGAGAGGCAGAGTAAGGCCTTGGGACTATGAAGCTGAGGAAAGCAGAGAGCACTTCACCAAGGTCCTGGCTTTGGCCTGTAGGGCTGAGGGCCGGACTTCCTCAGTGCCATGCCCACTCTGTCACTTATTAGGTCTATGGCTCTGAGGAAGCTACACCGACTAGACTTTGGTTCAATTTACAATTTCGCAAACTTGGGATGCTCCAAAAGCCATATGCATTCCGTGGAAACGTTACTTTTGAATTTTGATCTTTCCCCCGCCAGCTAGCTACTCACTTACTACTGGTAATGCTGGCCCAGGAGCAATGAGCAAGCTCGCAATCAGGCATGAGATCCTGAAGGTAAACAAAGGATAGACTTACACCCACTCTGTACCATACAGCCATTCTGTTGCTCACTTCCAGTATTCAATAAATTGCATAAGATAGTTAATCCTTCGTTATAAAATAGACTGTGTTAGGTAATTTTGCCCAGAGGCTAATGTAAGTGTTCTGAGCACGTTTGAGGTCGGCCAGGCTAAGCCACAATGTTAGGTAGGATCGAGCCCCGCATCGGGCTCCCTGCTCAGCGGGAAGCCTGCTTCTCCCTCTCCCACTCCCCCTGCTTGTGTTCCCTCTCTCGCTGTGTCTCTCTGTAAAATAATAAATAAAATCTTTAGAAAAAAACAAAACAAGTCTCAATAAATTTAAGACTGAAACCACATAAAGTATGTTCTCGAGGACATAATTAAACTTAGGTCCACCAGCTGTAGACCCATGACAGAGGGAAGAACACCTGTAATCAGCCTCTCTATGCTGGGCTTATTCCAGATGGGCCTTGGCTGCTGGCCGGGGCCCTCATTCTCAAGTTCCGGTGGGTCCCCACTCCGGCCCAGCACGCCCTACCTGGCAGCTCACCACCTCGGTCAAGTCTGGGTAGACCTGCGGCGGCTCGCTCAGGGCGCACAAGAAGAAGGCTGTATTGAAGCGGCGGCCGCCGCGGCGCGTGCAGCGGGAACGCGGTGCCCAGGGCCAGTGCGCGCCGCATGTCGGCTTCCAGCAGGTCCAGGCAGCCGGAGAAGGCCACCCAGAGGCGCTCGAACTCGGCGCGCTCCTCGGCGCCCAGGCCCCGGTCGCGCAGCGCGGCCGTCAGCTGGGCGCGGGTGGCTACCGCCAGCTCCTGCGCCTTTTGGCGCGTCTTCTGCAGCTCCTCACGCAGGTTCTGCGAGTCCGCCGAGCCGCCGACGGTCAGCACCAGGTGGTGGTAGCATGCGGTCGCCTTGTTGAGAGCGTCCAGCAGTGCCTTGCACTCCTCCCTCGCCATGGCTGTGCGCTTCTGCGCAGCCCGGCCGCCCGCGCCCCTCTCCGGTCCACGCCCTCAGCTCGGCAGGACGCTGTCAGCCCCGACGGCGGCCCGGGGCCGGGCGGCCCGCGCGCTCCTCATGGCCCGACACTAGCTCGGTGCTGCCGCTGTTGTCGACGGAGCCTCTGAAGACCTGCGACGTGCACCTCTGCGGACCGGACGCAGAGAGGGAGCCCCGTTAGCTATCTCCCATTCCCTCGTCCATCCTCCCTCGATTCGCTCGGAGTCACACGCCGAGTCGCTGCACCGCCCTCGCCTGCAAGGTGGCTCTCTGCGAAGCCTGGGTTGTGGTCCCCATCCTTCTCAGGTGCCGTCGCCTGGGATAGCTGGCCGCCGAGCCGCGCGCTCCGCCTTAGCCGCTGCTGAGGGCTGCTGGGTCGGGTTTCTTAGGATTCGTCCACCCCCGCCCGTCCTCGGAGGGCACTTCCATCCCTTAGACCAGGGATGGGCGGGGCCCCGCGCGGGGAGATCACGTGTAGGTCCCCCATCTCCCCCTGCTCCTCTCCCCGTTACAGTTCTGGAATACTAGCGCTTGGCAGTTCCAACCCTCCGGTATCGTAAAGATGGAGAAACTGAGGCCCAGGTAAAGAAAAAAAGGGGGGGCCTAGGTCACGCGACGTCCATGCAAGTGAGGGAATCAGAACCCAGGGACCCTAACTCCCAGACCCTGCCAGCGACGGAGTGGTGTGCCTTATAGGACTGGGCACCTCCGTCCTCCAAACCTAGCAGTAAAGGGCGATTCGCAGGGCGGGACAGCTCCTGGGTCTCCCCATCCGGATCCAGCCGGCTTTCCAGGGACCAAGCTTGGACCCCACCTCTAGTGTCAGATCAGCTTCGGCCCGCCCCCTCCCGTTCCGGGCACGCGCAGTCGGCGACTCAGGGCTGGTCCGGCCTGAGTAGGAAGCGCTGTGCGCCGCCTGAGCCCCACCCCGGCTGGGAGGACTCAATGATTGCTCTGCGCACACGTCACTCTGGATAAGGACGGCCGCTCATTGGGCTGACCAGGTGCGGCTCCGCCCAACGGCGGAGTAAAGAGGTGGGCGGTGGAGCAGAACTGCTGTGCTGGGGTGGTGGGCACCGAGGTGAGAGTCCCGGGCCCAGGAGGCGTCGCCGTGGCTCCGAAAAGGACATGGAGTGAAACTATGTAGCCTTTTAAGTAAGTGTCCTCGCTCCTGTGTCATCCCGTGCCTCCCTTCCCTCAGGACGGCTGCGCCTCGGGGCCTAGAGGCCGGGCGGGGCCCCGGAGCTGGAAGGGGGAGGGGCTCTTTCCTCTTCGCGGCTAGCGCCCCGCGGCGCCCCCAGGCAGGGCTGGCAGCCCCTGGGCGGCACCCCAAGACCCTAGCTCCTCGCTGGCTGGACCGCCCCGCCCGCGCTCTGCGGGTCCCGTCGGCTGGGCTCTCTCTGCCCCTGGAGTGCGGGGTGGCGAAGAATGCGCCCTCTGACCCCCGCGACTACAGGACGGGTCAGCGGGTGCGGGGTCCTGGGAGCTCGGACTTGGGGGCAGTGGGCGGGGCAGTCGTTCAAGAGCTGAGTGACCTCGGTGGTTTGCGGACCGCCTGGCGGGGCCGCTGGAGGGGGAGGATGTGGGTGGGGGTCCGGAGCCTGGGGCCTTGTGGTCCCCGGGGGTGGTGAAGGCGCAGGGGAGGGAGGAGGGAATCCCTGCCTGCCAGCCTCTTGAGGGGCCGGGGCTCTTCGTTCTGCTGGGTAAAAATTACTCCAGGAAAACTTAGGCACCAAGAGATGTTCCGGACTCTGGGTCTGTTCAGTTCTTTTCGTTGAACATAGACTGCCCAAGGCGCGCGAGCTGGGTGGGCATGGCCCCTGCAGATGTTGGGAACTGGGGCATTAGCAGCCGGTGCAGGGCCACGGAGCAAACGACGCGTCTTCATTGAGGGTTTAGGACATTCAGGGAAGGAGGGGCTGGTGAGACTGGAGGGTCTACTGGTTTGCATGCGAGCTGGGGTTTTCCAAGTTTATGGGTTTCATGGGGAGAGGCCCTTATTTTGATTAACTCACCCTCCCACTAGCCCCAGAGAAGAGCAGGGGATCTTAGTGGGATATTAGCGTTTTGAGTCCACCTTCCCCAGCATGGTATTGAGGCGGTTCAGAAGATCCAGAGCACTGGGCCCCAGGGCTCCCTCACTCTGCGCTCTGTCCTTTAATCTATAGATTTGGGGCCATTTGTGGCCAGGACTTGGACGCTCCTGGCCTTGGCCATTCTCCATGGTGGAGGGTCTTAGCCACCCACTGACCAGATGGGGGCCTTGACAGGGAAAGAGAAGTTTTCAAGACAAAATAGAAGGAGGGAGAACCCATCACATTGGGGAGCTTTAGGGACAGCAGAGGGATACGAAGCTACAGAGATGGGTGGCAGGCCAGAATGAGAGGCCCTTAATGCCAGGAAGAGAAATTGAGAGTTCATTTAGTAGGGAGTAGAGGGGAAGTCCTGGAAGAATGTAGTAGCCCCCCCCCCCCACCTTTAGTCCATGGGGGATGTGTTCCAAGACCCCCAGTGGATGCTGGAAACCTCGGATAGTACCAAACCCTATACTCCATTTTTTTTTCCTATACCTACATACCTATGATAAGTTCAATATGTAAAGTAGGCACAGTAAGAAATTAACAAAAATAACTAACAAAATAGAATAATTATTAACAATATACCGTGATGAAAGTTATGTAAACGTGGTGTCTCTCTCTCTCTCAAAATATCTTGTGCTGTATTCACCCTTGTTGTGATGATGTGAGGTGATTAAATGCCTCGGTGATGAGATGAAGTGAGGGGAACGATATAGGTACTGAGTGTAATGTTAGCTGCTACTGACTTCCTGACCATATGTCAGAAGGCGGATGTTCTGTTTCCAGACCCCGGTTGACCACGGAAAAGTGAAACTGGAAAGCAAAACTGAGGATAAGGGGGACTCCTGCCCCGTAGTAGACCTCAGTGTTGGAAAGATTGCTTTGCCATCTTTCCTGTGGACCAGTCTGAGTAAGATCAGGAGGGCAGAGGCCTCTGAGGGAGAAGTGCAGGATGGGAGCAGGGACAGATGCTTGTGTTTAGCCTCAGTGGCAGGAAAGCAGTTGAGGCTCTGAAGTTGAGCAGATCCCTTGGGTGAGCTCTCCTCCCTCTGGCTTGCCACCAGAAATCATCCTGCCTGGCAGCTTCACTGGCAGAGCAAACAGTACTGTCTGCATAGGGCCTGGGGGTCAAGGGCTTGATTGTGTTTCCTTGTGGCTCTTGGACTGTGTTGGGCTCATGAGCGCAATTCCTGGGTCTTTGTTATTCACACATCTGCACTGCTAGTGTTTCTGTGGGTCTCTCCCTTTGTTTATGAATTGCCAGGATTAGGTTGGTGTCCTGTAACTCAATCCTCTACTAGAGGAGCAGAGGAACGTGACCATGTGAGGATAGATCTAGAAAGGATTCAGACCCAAATCCAGGGGTGGTGGTGCTCCTCCAAACTCTCCTGCTCCCTTAGTGGTCACACCCCTCTTCCAGCTCTGAGGCCTTCCCTCCCTGTGTGACTCTCCACATTCCAGCTGTCATAGCCAGCTCTGAGTTTATAGTTTGTTTCCGGCTTTCTGCTGGTGCCTGCATGGCTGCCTGGGGCCAGCCCCTCACCCTTCCCTGGATATGGGCAGTGGATTTCCAGCTTCTGTGAGAGATGACCCCTCCCTGGGAGCTTGAGCTTCCTCTCACCCCACTATCATCTTGTTCTAGTGGACGAACAGTTACAGCATGCCTACCGTGAGCCACGTGGCCAGGCACAGACTGGACACTTTGAAGAAGAGCTTTGAGAAAAATATGGATAGGATCCATAAATGGTACAGGCCAGGAGGACATAAATGACTGTAATATCATACATTACATCATCCAGTTGCTTCCATTTGCTATTAAACAGATGAATTAGAAAGTTTTCCCTTTTTGCCTTTCCCTTTTGCATCGCAAATTAAACTGGTTGGAGAATAATGCTCATCCTTTGGAAAATATGCCTGGTGTGGGTCTTTGGTGAGCGCCCTCACCAAAGAGTGAGAACAGCCATAGCAGTGAGATTTCAGCTGGGGGTTTATCTCTGGGAGGCACAGACGTTCCTATGCTGGATTCTGCTGAGCCAGGCTGCACACTGTCACCAGATGGGGACACCTGACCACCCAGCCTCATGGGACAGTTGTAGACCACAAAACCACAAGTGCGCACACCACCCCATGAAATGTCCGGTACTAGTTTGAGATCATGCCTGGCTCTCCTGTTCATAGAGTTAACCTCAGATAACTCGTGTTCAGGGGGTATTTGGTATCTCTGACTAATTTCCCTGGATTTGCTGTAAATCATCCAACCATTTGAGCTTAGGCAGAGGTGGAATTTTTTTTAAAAGGAGTTTTAGAAGAGGATTTACTCCTCTTTCCAGTTTTATAAGGAACAGTCAGTTTACTTTTCATGATATAAAACAAATTCTTGCAAGTAAAACTTGTGAGGGCGTTAACCTGTGTTAAGTATTTACCCCCTATTTAAGAATTCCATTCTGGCATTAAGCACCTGATTGTATTGGATTCTTATATGTTTTAAGCACTGGGACAAAAAGTTTGAGAAGAGCATTGGACAGTGCTCTTCGAATCCCTACTCCTGGACAGAGGGTTCAGTCATTGGCAACCAAAAGGAATGATGTCTAAGAGAAAACAAGATGACTTGGGGCTGAAACCCAGCAAGCTCTGTCCCATTCACCAGCAGTGCTTGCTCCGAGTCTTGTGTGTTTCATGCATTTGAACTGAATGTTTTGATGTGGCATTCAGGGGCCTCCCCTCACCCTGCTGTCCCTCTCTGACCAGCACTGTTTGGATTCCTGTTATTTCCCTGGACTCATCTTCTCATCAATTAAAAAATTTTTTTACTCTTGGGTTTTCTGTGCCCACAGGAACCTGTTCCTGCTTCCTCTGCTCCCCACCCCAGCCCCCTTCCCTGCTGCTCCCTTCTCTGGTCCTTACCTGTCTCAGCACTGCTCTGGGTTGGTTTTACTCTGCGGATGCACATTCCTTGCCTACCAGCTAGGTTGTTACTTCCTGCATCAGAGCCCGTCCTTGTCACCTCTATCTTGGGTGTAGAGGGGTTGGAGCTCTGCCGGCATCTCGTCTGAGGAGCAGAAGGAGGGTCCCTTCCCAGCTTCATTCTGACCGTATGGCATCCTGGCTCTCATGGGGTTTCTGTCCAAGGTGTCTTTACTTTTGTACTTGCTCATGTAGAACCGATTGTGTCAGAAACCAGAAACAATTTTGTTTTCTTGTGACTCTGTCCCAGCAAAATCACATTATCCAGTTGTTCTGGTTAGGGCCTCATAAAAGGATTATTTGGGCTGCAGTAATAATTGAATTCAACAAGTCAAATACCTGAATTGTTGTAGAGCTGTCTCTGGGGTCCAGGAAGAGATTATATGTAACCTTTTTCATGCTAGGCTCTTCCCCTAAGAGGCCTTGCAGGGAGCTCAAGGGCCTCCTTGAGGCAGTCCCCAGGAGGGCCTGCAGCAGAGACAGTTCTGGCTGGACCAGACCGAGGAAATTCAGTGTAGGGCCCATGTGGCTGTCATGGTGACTTTTCCTTTGGGGGAAATGAAGTATGGAATCTCTGCATCTGTGGGTTGTGATATAACCCTTAACCCAGGCATATTTATTTTACAGTGGGTATAGTGGCTAAAGAGGAGAATGTTAGAATAAATTCTGACATCTGTATAACCTCACGTTGGCCAACTGAGCCTCAGTTTCTTCATCTGCAAAATATGGGGCTAATGATATCAATAGTTATTGTGAGCATTGGTTGTAATTGGTTGCCTGTAGTTATCATGAACATGAAAGTG